AGGCAGGGCGGCCTACATTTAAATGCGGAGCGACCCAATTGCGGTGACCGGCTATCAATCACGCGCTTGGACATTCTCGCCTGAGAAGCGCACAAACATGGGGGGGGTGGCCGAGAGGTGCGGCGGAATAATAACACGCCGGAGGCGCCGACGCCGAGACCCTGGGTTTCAATTCGGCTTTCAGGCCTCCTGTGATTAAACCGACCGGGATCTCACAAGTGTAGCGAGTCGGCACCCTTCAGCCCCGTCACGGGTTACCGCGCAAAATACAATCGTGTCAAGCATCTCGGCTTTAACTCGTCGGGTTCTGAAAATGTCTCGCTCTGTGGATGCCTCGTTCATTGGATTGATTGTCATGGCGATTGTCATGTATCTTCTCACATGCGCTGCTAATGTAGGTGATCGTCCCACGTTCTTCACGTGGCCGATGTTGATGTGAAGTAACAACTCTAATTGCGTCAGTAATAGCGGAGTGGTGCATCACTGTGATGACGAATCGGGCGTTGAGTTGTTAGGTATCTTTGTGCAGCGGATGCAGTTGCTAACACTGGTCAACAGAAAAAACATTTTTTTCTGGCCTGGACTTTTGCAGCTGTTTTAGACTAATTTCAGGGTACTGATTCCAAATGCTATCGGCATACCCCATTTTCATTGATTTTACCCAAAATTAACTCTGTCACTTATGATTGCAAGTTGTTGCGAGTCAGTGACTGCTTTAGTGTTAAAATATGGTGCCGTATTTTTACTATAGTGTGTTTATAATATAATTTTATGTAAATATCCACATTTATTTAATATTTTTCTTCTGCAGTTTTTATTGAAAATGCAATATTTGATATCTCAAAAACCTGATGTGATAGACAAAAACTGATGCCACATTTGGAATCAGCACCCCAAAATTACATTAAAAACCGTCGGATTACCTTATGCCAGAAAAAGTGTGTTGACCAGTGTAATCACAGGTGCAGGGGAAGGACAACAAACTTAAACACAAAAAGCAGTTCGAAAGAAATTCGTTTCCAAGCTACACTTAAAATTCCATAGCTCCGGTGGCCTCCTGATATCGGAAGAGCTTTTCAGATGGCCGCAGAAGTGGACCCGAAAGCACGCGAAACGGCGACCGTCTTTGTTCGATGGCCAGACCAAAGCCGCCACTGCGAAGATCACCGAAGCACGCGTGATGACGGTTTATGCTACTTGACGTGATCAACAAAGATTGTGGCCCCCCTTAAGCTTCGCGGGAGATCGAAGCCAGGGATCTACTGCGCGTGGTGTTTGTGACTTCTTGTGAGCTCCATGTGGCTTTCAAAGCATCGTCCTTGCGTGGATAAGATGCAATTCAAGGAACTCAGAAGTAAATTTCGATTTAAAGCTTTCGTGACTGCAGGGATTCATCTTCTTGGTTCTTTCGGTAAAGTCACGTAGAAGGGAAATTATAAAATAATAAAAATAAAACATAATAAAATAATTTTCACGACGTTTCGGCCACAACGCAAGCGGCCGTCCTCAGGTGAAGAACAGGTCTGTCGGAAAGACAGCGACAGACCTGTTCTTCACCTGAGAACGGCTGCTTGCGTTGTGGCCGAAACGTCGTGAGAATTATTTTATTATTATGTTTAATTATTTATATTTTATTATTTCCCTTCTACGTAACTCAGAAGTAGTTCTGCAATATCACCTTCCAGAAGCCGTTCTCTTGCACAGGGTGATGTGACACTTTCTCTTTGCATTATGAATGGAAATGTCTGTTTCATGACACGACACTGGATAAGCTAAATCGGACTAGAGAAAGAGAAGGATAAAAAAAGAATCACAATACTCCAGTTCACAATACTGTAGTCAAGCTACCTTCACAGTCGAGATGCAAATCAAGATATGTGAGGTTATGCCACCTTTTGACAATTCTTTACAAAAAGGGCAGTTATTAATTTATTCAGATGTCTACTTTGCAAGCGATGTCCTCTCGCAATATAAAGTGCACGGCTCCAGCAAGCAAACTGCATTTCAAAATGTCTACGTCGATTCAGACGTACGTGCGTTGGTAGCTGTGACCTCTGGCAATATAACGTCACGCAAACATTTCCATTCTCCCCGCCGCCGCCTCCTCCTCCTCCTCCTCCGGTGACGCAAACATTCCCTTATCGAAGTAATTCCCCCCCCCCAGCCCGCGGATCGTGTGTAGGCGATGGACGTGCCAATGCACAGTAGGGGAGGGGGGGGGAGAGGGGGCAGCGAGGGGGAGTGGGCAGGGTGGCCCCCCCTCCCCCCCTCCATGAATAAGGCGGCAGTAGCGGTAGCAGCAGCGGATTGGGATTTTTCCAAACGTTCCCAATCGGTGTCTGGCCGGGAGAGGGGGTGGGAACGTCCACGCTGGCGGTACGGCATGCCCCGCACGCCGTTGCTCCCCGCATGTGCACCGCCGCTAGCACCTAATCTGTTCTGCAAACAAGCGGCAGCCGGCGGCCAAAGTAAAACGCGCTGGCCCGGGTCGGGCCTTGGCTCGCGGCGAGGTCTTTATTTAGTAACGCGGCAAACGTTTCTCCCGGCGCCGGGGCTTAGCGGCTTCCTCTTAAATGGACGGCGACGTCCGTCTTACAGTGCTTGCCGAGACCCGGCGGGGAACGTGGAAGAAGTGCTCGCGAATTCCGAAACCGTGTGGGGCCCTCCACCTCAAACCGGTGCGAGGACCTCGATAATTAAAGTCACACGTGGCTGTCGCACGAAGCAAAAAAAAAAAGTTTCTTTTCCCCCATTCATGATTCACAACACTCGTCAATCCACTGCTGGATGGAGGCTTCCGTGACTGTTATACGAGGTCACTCTAACCGTACTTCGCCACGGTGGTCCGTGCGGGTCGGTGGAAGGGCCGACCTAGGATCGGCTCAGATGCGGCTCGCCACGGACGGATGCCGAGCCTTGGCAAAAAGGTTTAAATTTCTTTCTCATGGCGCTGTGACAAATAATCAAATAAAGTGGACAAATAAGAATATGCACCATCATTGTAATCCACTGTCAGAGCATGTTTGTTTGCATGTTTCTTCCACAGGTACGTTGTGGTTCACGCACACTCGATGCCTTGTCGTTGGCGTGTCTGTTTGGTGTTCGAACATCTTAACACACCAGTTTTTATTTCCACAGAAAAGTTAAGCCTATTCTTATTTTTTTATTATTTTGATACTGGGCAAAAAAGGTCCCCATAGATACAATATATTACATTTGCAAAGAGGCTCATTTCGTCTGTATGAATCCCAACGCACCCCGAGTATGGAAAGCAGAAAATAAACAGAACCTGCAATGCAGAACTGGGTGGGGCAATTTAAAGAGGGGAGTTTTCTAGACAGACGTAGCTCAAACGACTCCGATCATCTTATTGCGAAAGGCAAAGCGTTCCATAGCCTGGGAGCTGCCGTGGCAAAGGGCCTACTCTTCCACGCTGGCCGGACGTCTTGGGAGAGGCGAGGAGTGCCCGCGTTTTACCCCACCGCCAATCAACTCTCGCAGTGGTGGAACCCATTCATAACGCCGCCGGGTGGACCGCTGGGCGGGAGAGGGGGTACGGACAGGTGGACGATTTAAGAAACCCGACACCGCCGTTTCACCGGCCGCGCCAGGAGGTGGAACCGACGACCTCTGGGTCGCAAGCGAAGCGTGCCGCCCGTTACACCGCAGTGCAGCAGTTTGATAGACGTCTGTGTAACTAAATATATATATGTATATCTTGCTGTAAAAACCTGTGCGTTTCCTGAAAAAAAAAGCCAGTCGGCTGAAACACCAATATCTTTCTTTCGTCTAAGTCACGGCAAAAACAAACAAAAAAAAACCCGTCATTATTTTTAATTGGCCTATTATATCGTAGGATTTCACTAAAGAATTAGCTCGACGGTGTGCCCAGGGGGGCCAATCCCATGGTAACAGAATTACAGCACGGAGCCCACGGCAGCTGAATACGGCTGCAGTTGGCCTCGTTACCATGGACTTGCCCACACAAATATAAAGTTTCTCCGTACAGCCTTGGAAGACTGTTGAGGCAAGTGCTGCAAGCATCGATGAAGGCCTGCACGACGCATTAGGGGGTGGGTGGCCAGCACCACGTACGTCCGAGGCAAGTGCTGCAAGCATCGATGAAGGCCTGCACGACGCATTAGGGGTGGGTGGCCAGCACCACGTACGTCCGCCCTCGTCTCCCGAGTAGCGATGGTTACACATTGCACCAGGTGCACATTTGAGGCCGAGTCGACCTAGGGGAGGCCCAGGACCGGTTCTGGTGTTGGCTGTGAGTGGGAATCGAACTCGGGTCGCTGACTTCATAGTGCAGCGTGCTAACTGCTACACTACCGCTCACCATAAGTGAAAATTTGTCCACACACACAAATCAAACATGAGACAGATCCAAATTCAAGCACACAGACCCATGGTTTTTAGTTTAGAGACCCATAGTTTCACCGAGACTCACAACCGTACATAGAGATGACCTAAAGACTCGCATAGATATCCACAGGCTTACATGGAACCCCAAAGCCTTACATAGACACTCAAGAGATTCACATAAAATGCATAGATTGACATAGCGACCCACAGACTCACATAAAAACCCATCTTTAGCCCTTCGCCAGTGGTGGAACTTCCTAATTCCTAACCATATGGCATGGTGTTTCACTGGTAGATAGAGCCAGTTACCATCGGGCAGATTTCTGGCCACTGCCTGATGATGCTGGCGGTAGCTACCACAGGGACGTAATACAAAATTTTAAAAATGCTGCGAATTTCTCTCCAACACGCCGGCATGGCTGAAGTGGCAACACACAGGCACACTTGTTCACGAGACGACTTGACTGGCTGAGTCGGGTGGAGAACGAGTGGGCACAACAGAGACTCTACCGGGCAAGTTCTTGGACCGATCGCACCGCGGTCGACTGGCTGATCGGAGTGCCATTTCCCCCCGCTCCCCCACCACCCCCCCCCCCCCCACCGCCTCCATCTCCCCGACGGGCGCCGCTTACTTCAAGTCCACGGTGTTGTAGACGGTGCGGAGGAAGGCGGCGTCGGGCTGATTGGCCTCGCTCGTTAGCGTGTGGAAGTAGACGAGGATGTAGTCGCGTGACGCCACGTGGTCCATCACGTGGATGAAGTAGAGAAGCGCCTGCGTGTGCGTGCGTGTGTGCGTGCGCGTGTGCACGTGTGGGGATCGGGGGTGCAAGGGTTAGCTGTGCTGCGCTATAAAACTCGGCGACCCGAGTTCGATTCCCGCCCATGGCCAACACCAGTGACGATTATCCGGTCCCGGGCCTCCCCTAGGTCGACGCAGCCTCAAATGAGTACCTGGTGCGATGTGTAAACATCGTCACTGGGGCGTGGTGTTGGCCACCTACACCCCCTTGTGTGCCGTGCTGGCCTTCATAGGTGCTCGCTAACCGCACTTTCCCAAAAACAGCCTGTTAAGGCTATATGGGGGATCTTTGTGTTTTGGGCAGAGACAAAGTGGAGAGCGTGAGAGTGCAGCAGCAGCTTGTGAGCTACGCTCATGAACCCGGTGACCCGAGTTCGATTCTCGCTCATGGCCAACATCAGTGAAGAACATCTGTGCCAGTCCTGGGTCTCCCCTATGTCGACTCAGCTTTAAACGGGTACCGATTAGTATGGTTGGCTACGTACGGTGCGAAAGAAGTTCAACATGCATACGAGACATCGCATTGATAATTTATGAAAGTGGAATTGGCCAGGACGCGTCACTAAATGGGCCGATGGATATGACCGGGAATGGAATGGCAGCCAAAGGAGGAAACGTGACCCTGAGAGTACGACTACTGTGGAGCTGGAGCAAGAAGGCGAGTTCATGTGCAGGGGTCAGATGTATTGTGACATCGCAGAACCATGCGAGTAAGAATCGACATTTCAAACTCCGTAAAGTGTTCATAGTGACCGCTACAGCCACTACAATCACCACAATTGTAATAATAATACTGTGTTCATGGTTCGAACTCTGACCTTGGAATCGGACAAATTTATCGAATCGCCGAGGGGCTCAGAAGGAGGAGAGTGAAATGAGCCGTTACGAGGTTGCCTAGAGGCTGGAATTTAAATGTAAATGTACCTGGCCTGGTACGCGGCGACCTTCCGCAGGCCACGGGGGATAGGGCATCATCAGTGGCCCTGACAGATTCTTGCATCCCACTTTTCATTATAAAACCCACAGGTGTCCACCGCTGCTATTTCGGTGCACCCTTAGACACGCGGCCGTCGCAATGCATTGGGTCTGGAATGCTGTTGCCAATAAACACTGCAACTTGAATCACTACCTATGAGGTCTTCACTCAAAACTGCTCTAGATGAGTTGTACACCCCTAGCTGCCAGTGCTATTCAGTGGCCTAAAATAAAATGTTTCGCTCCGGATGATCACTGCAAAGTATGACCTGTGTTTTGATTTAGTGTGCTGATCTTAAAGGTGCATTGAAAAGTTATAATACTCCGAATGATGCTCCTGCTGTTGTGGAGTGACTCATGCAGCCAGCTATGGCTGCAGGGTTTTGGTAGTACATGTTGTTTATGTTATTTATTGTGAAAATTCCATCACAGTTCCTATGATCACTGTTTCATTGCTTTCATGGCTTTATTTTGGTGATTTCGAAAAGTGTATTGGTTTAGCCATGTTTGTTTGTTGTAGTACAGAGTTAGACTGATGGCCTTATTCTAAGTTGTCTTGTGGTTGTTGTTGTTGTTTGACTTGCATCCCACTGGGATTTATGCACACAGCGTTGGTGTATGGTGTTTTTTCTGCAATATTTTGCTGTCTTTTCTTGGATTTTCTGCTTGCACTCAGTCACATATTAACTTAAAGATGTTTTTTTGTTCATGTTTTAGTTTTTTTTGTTTGTTGCTGTTGCACCCGATTCAAGAGCCGAATGGCTCAAAGGGCTATACCTAATACATGAACTTGACGCGAGCTTGCCCGTCGGTAACAACCGCCGTGCAATTAAATGGCGAGAGGGCCCGGAGGTGACGCGCCTCGCGGCGATGGAGCGACGACGATGTCGGCTCGCGCGCAGGCGCCGGGCGAATTGTTCACGCCGCTGGACCCCGTGACGTTTCCCCGGTTGCTTCGTGGCGCCGCTGAGAAACGGCGCGGCGCATCGGCCGCCGCGCAGATGCAACGCTGGCAAGCAAAGAGCGGCAGGAGAGCGGCAGGGGGGGAAACGAACCTACGTCGGACAGTGGGCCTCGAGCAAAAATATATCTGAATTCAAACGTGTTGAATCGGAAGAAAACCGCGCAACGATATCAGGCACCGTGTCGCCAGCTGATGGATGAAAGCCCTCCCTCCCCACCACCATGATATAAAAATACAATAAACTAAAAAAAATTCTACGATCAGCCAATTTTATTCTACCAGGTAAGGCTCACTGAGCAACGTAGCTCTTTTTTTTTTTACAGAAGCTCCCTGGCCACTGACGATCAGCTCCACCAAGTGGCTTATCGCGTGGAAATTTATAGCAGCAGCGAAATACTCGAAATGCATGTTTCGAAATGTGCAGGGAGAAACCGGAGGACCCGGAGAAAAATCCAAGTGACCACAGGGAGAACATGCAAACTTCAAATATACAGGCGTCAAGGTCGGGATCGAACCCACGACCTCCTGTATACCAGGCGAGGTAGCTAACATCTCGCCAGCGTGGCACCAACACACTGCAGGACAAGACTCCGTCAAACGTCTCTCACGCAGCTGCGGCTGAAGGACTCAAATATGCCGTGGATCGTAAAGGGATCTCTAACCGACGCAGCATTACGAGGCCGGAGCTGCCTCGTATAACCGAGCGTCTGAACGCGTGACCCCACACAAAATCCCTCGGGAGAGAGGGGGCGCAAAAAGCAGGGGGTGCGGGGTAGGGTCGCACAAAAGCGGGGGTGGAATGGGTGGGGGCCGGGCATGGGCACTGCCAGCGATAACCGCAGCCAAGACATTGGAGCCAAGCTCAACCGCGGTACAGCAGCGGTGCACATGATAGATATACACACACATTCACAGCAGTGGCGCACATGATATACACACACACACACACAGTCACAGCAACGGTGCACATGATAGATATACACATATACAGTCACAGCAGCCGCTTTCGCGGTTTCATTAAGGCAAATTTTCATCCTGCACATTTTACGAACGCGAATGAAACCGCGTTCAATGTACGCCACACGTATTGGGAGCCCAAAGGATTTCGCTCACAGTGGCACAAGCCGTGAGCAGCGGTGGAAGCAATGCTGCCGTTGATGCTGCCACGACGGGTTGAATTATCTTTAATGCCTACCGCCAAATCACCCGGAACGTGCCCGGATTTCGTCGGATCGAGGATGCTAACCAGAGCTGAGCCTGCTTAGTGCTCGGGATGCAGTGGCGTAGCTAGGATATTTTGTGCCCGGGGACGAACTATAAAATTGGCGCCCCCCCCCCCCCCGTTTAATCACATACCAAAATGTAATTACATGACATGTAGGCTGTGTGTGGCGGGATATATAAACTTTTAGGTTGAGGTGTAGATTTGTGCGGTAGTTTCAGGCTGTCGCGTCCTCCGCAATAAGTTATAATGTAACGTCGTAAGCCTCATTTTGGCGCCCCTTTACCTTGGCGCCCGGGGACACATGTACCCCCCTGCCCCGCCCCCCCTAGCTACGCCTCTATCGGGATGGGTGACCACCAGTGCATGCCAGGTGTTGCAGGCGTGGGGCTGCTACGTGGTCACAAGATGCCAGTGCTGCGACGGATTCGGCTCACAGCTGAATCAGGTGGATTCAGCCGTGGAATGAATCCATCTGTGCGGAGCTTTGAGTGTTATCCCCTCGTTTGCTCGGTGAGTTTACCCTGTGGTTCTCTGTTAGCCTCCCATACGCCGAATGGAACTCGCCAAACTTCTTAATGCAGGACTCCTGGATTAATTTAAAACGCATTCACCATCATTTATCCTCACGATTATTATCAACCAAGCGCCAGATCGAAGGGGCGAGCTGCCTTCAGAGCTCTCGTTCTCTCCCCGAGCATCTCAGCTCTGCGGGACCTCACACCTCCAACCGCACAACATCCTCCGCCATTTCCGTAGCCCAGCTGCCACTGACACCCTCGTCCATGCGTTCAGCACATCCTGACTCCGCTTCAAAGTGGAGAGAGATTGATAAGATTGTACCGAGTGTGCAGTTGTATTGTTTTGGACTTAGCTGTTCCAACTTGGCAGAGATTAATAACATGTTACCGAGTGTGTAGTCGTATTGTCTTGGAGTTAGCTGTCCCAATTTGGAGAGATTAATAACATGTTACCGAGTGTATAGTTATACGGTATTGGACTTAACTGTTCCATAGGACCAGCTGGACCATTGGCACAAACTCGCTTGTTGCTACGCTACATGCCGAGAGCCAACATTAGGCCCCTCGTGAATGGCCGCTCTCCTGCAATATTTCTAGAGCTCTGCTCCGCCTGAAAAAGGGCCATTGCCCGAAACGTCACGCAATTATAAACCACCATCATTTCTCGATTTAAAGCTTTAGTGACTGCAGGGATTCGTCTTCTTGGTTCTTTCGGTAAAGTCACGTAGAAGGAAAATAATAAAATAATAACAATAAAACATAATAAAATAATTCTCACGACGTTTCGGCCACAACGCAAGCAGCCGTCTTCAGGTGGAGAACAGGAGAACATTTCAGACTCTGCCTTCTCGACAGACCTGTTCTCCACCTGAAGACGGCTGCTTGCGTTGTGGCCGAAACGTCGTGAGAATGATTTTATTATGTTTTATTTTTATTATTTTATTATTTTCCTTCTACGTGACTTTACCGAAAGAACCAAGAAGACACCATCATTTCCTTTGAGAAACGATAAAAACGCAGATATGACGCAATCTGCATCTCTACACGCTCGAGGGTAGCGTGTTATTTTTGTTTCTGCGCCAACCAGCACCGTCAGTTTCTCTTGTGAACTCTGAACGGGTTAAAAGGTGTGGGGGGGGCAGGGGGTTAGGGTTGGGGGGTTACGGCTTCAGTCAAATGAGGATGGGAGGATGATGCGAGGATGCCAAGAGGTGGTGGAGACGGTGGTGCGGGCGAGCGAATAACCCTCCTCCTGCTCCTTGTTACTCCCAGCAGCACCCCACGCTGTGAA